TGTGGCACTTAGGACACAAGCATATTTTAACTTTATTTTTGTCACTTATTTATTTTTGCTCATAGGTATTTCATTGTGTGAGTGTGTAATTGAACCTGCTTTTACTGTTTTGATAAATTCTTTTACATCTTAATGTTGCTTACCAGTATTGGTAGTTGTATGAATATTGTTTTGGCAAATGGTTCCATTGTATATAGCTATTTTGTATTTTTTCCAGACACACTGCCCTAATCTATTTTGTTGTGTTCACTACTAGTCATGCTTTGTATTTGCAGCTATTTCAAGCCTGTCTGTAGGCAACTATAGCACTTTATATTTGTGCTTTTCGAACAACATCATTCCATGATGGCTAACATATTTTTAAGGCCCTATTTCATAACCATAAGAAGCATGACCCCACTTACATAGCACTCTTATTGAAATTTGCTGTGTTCAATATTTGTTAGCAAACTTATCAAAGAAATAATCTATGAAATCAATTTGAAATTTTTTTAGTGATTTTGCAAATTTACACTTTATTTCCAATGTTCAAAACTTCATGCTGCCTTTCATGCATGCATTTTTTTTGTTCTGGTTTGTACATTTGATAAATTATTGGTGAATGGTGATATTTTTATGTATTTGAAAGCAAGATGTTTCCTACAGCTATTTACTTATTTAGCAATACACAATCTAGAATTCCAGACCCAGAGTTAAATATTTAAAATCAACTTCATTTATATATATGATATGTGGGGTAAATTCTGATGATTACCATAATTGGACGGAAGAGGTCGTCAGAAGTCTATTACATTTAATTTATCTACCTAAATTTTGTTATATTTTGTGTAAGTTGTCCACAGATCCCTTAAAAAGCATTCTTAATCGTGTATTTTGTATTCTTGTAGTAATATTTTTTATCTTTTTTGGTGGGCGGGCGCGTACTTTTACGTTTTTTAACTTTATTTTAAGTTATGCTCGCCTTCCAGGTATCTCTGCATTTTGTTTGTTTGTCCAGTTTTTGTGTTGCTCTGTTTTTATGTCAGAGTACCGAAATAAATGATTGATTGATTGATTGATTGTTATAATGTACCGGTACAATTACTTCAAAAATGGTTAGATCATCGTAAATTTATCTCTTGTCATCTTGTGGTGTTTAATTCAGAAGAATTTCACCAATTGTTTTAGTAAGAACTGGATAAATGTGCATGTGTCTGGTATAGTTTAGTACCACATGCACCTCCACTTGGCCTGGCTCAACAATTTTTGCATATGTCAATCCTAACCCCCACCTGACTACGTCACCGAAATATTACTTCATTTCAACGTCGTAGGGGCGTAATAAGGCCCACCAGGGTATGCGGATGTTCGTCCAAAACGTGCAGACGATGACCCGAAATTGAGCAAGCTATTTCTCTCGTTTTTCGTCACAACGATCACGATAGGAGAGAAATCGTCGGCGTTAGCGAGTTCGTTATCGGCGGCGCAGATGCCATTTCGGGCGATCGTAATCATACTTTGGCAAGACCTATGACGTGATGGACTGATGGTGACGTCGTAGTGACGTAATTTTCGGATGGCATAGTCAGGTTGGTGTTAGGAATAACATATGCAAAATTCGGGGTTTCGTGTAGTTTCTTACCTAACATACTTCTAGTGGGCGTAGCATGACAATTTTTTCACATAGCCATCCTAACCCCCACCTGACTACACCATCCAAAAATTACGGCATTATGAGACACCACAGTGACGTAATAGAGCCCTTCAAACTATACGAACTGCCATCCAAGACGCGCAAACGAGCACCCGAAATCGAACAGTTATTTCTATCGTTTTCTCGTCGCAACGATTTTGATAGGAGAGAGATCGATAACGTCAGCCAGTTCTTTATCGTAGGCGTCAATGCCATTTCGAGCGATCGCATGTATATTTGGCAAGCTCTATGACGTGATTGTGATGTCGTAGTGACGTAATTTTTGGATGGCGTAAGCAGATGGGTTAGGATTGACATATCAAAAAATTGTTATGCTACGTCCACTAGAAGTACGTTAGGTACCAAACTACACGAAACCCAAAATTCGTTATGCTACGCCCACTGGAAGTACTTGTGGTACTATACTAGACCCAAATAATTGAGGTACCATTATTGCTGATTATGGAAATTTGACAATCATAAATTCAGAATCAGTTTTCGGTCGAAATATATTCTTCACGATTTTATTGCACAAGCGTCTATTGAATGTCATCCAACAAAAGCTCAGTTGATGCTGTTTTTCTTAAGGATATTTAAAGTAGAATTTGCATATTGAACACTGATAATTTGTCACATGAATGACATTTGATAACGAAATCAGGTTTTACTAAAATACCCGATATACCATATGTCTGAATCTCGCAGCAGAGCGATCATAAAAACTATCTCGGTTTATGAGTAATTTCGAGCGATACCGGGATAAGATCGCGAATTGCTTTGTAACCATCGTGACGTAACAAGCTAAAATTTCAACTTATTACGTCAAATGTCACGCTGCGGTTAATGGTTAAAATTTTTTTCCTGAAATTGTCGGGACTAGTTCACTAAACGCCGTCAAGTACCTCTAGTTAGGGTGGTGTAACCCAAAGTGACTATAACGTTACCATACCAATGCATGTCCTCACTTGTGTTATAGTCATTTTGGTTATTGGTATAACCATTCTGCCATTCCCCAAAATCAAGAAAGCTATTTTCTCGTTGTAACGATCCAGATATGAGTGAATGAGACTAGCGAGTTCGTTATCGTCGGCAGAGATACCATTTTGGGCGATCATAGCTTTTCTTTGGCAAGCTCTATGATGTGATTGTGACATCTTAGTGACATAACTTTTTGGATGACGTAGTCAAGGAGGGGTTAGGAATCATTTACAAAAATGTTTGTGCCACACTAGCTAGAAGTGCTTACGGCGTTTAGTGCACATGCACCAAATTCCCAGCCCTAGCGATTAACCATTTCCGAATTCTTGTATTCCCATACCAGCTTATTGCACAGTGCTCGTTTCTGTGATTAGGACAAAAGGACGGATGTTGGAATTGTTTAAAATTTTGTCTGTATTTAAAAATAAACGTAGTTATAGCCTATTTACACTGAAATATCACAAAGAACTACCATAAAGGTTCATAGCAATTGTGTAACCATAAGCAAAATTCTTTAGACTACGGTATGTCAAGAAAAAGTTACCGTACACTTACCGTATATTTTCGCACATACGCCGAGTTTGAAACACAAAAAAAAAGTTGCCAAACTAAGGGGGCGGCTTATACTCGCGTAACTCAGATTGCATAAAAAAATCGACTCATTCGCGCATGACTTTGATCACGCAACGAGATTGACATTTAGCTAACTTGCCGGTAATTCCAAAAGCTTCAAACCGCACTAAGTTCTCACGATAAAGAACGCACACACACAATCGCTTGTGCGGGTGTGATTGTCTCATCATACATCTGATGGCTCGTACAGTCTGTGATTGGTTGTTCAACACGTGACGCTTGTACAGTCTGATTGGCGTCGATTTACGGCCAGCGTTTCGTGGTGAAACATTATCATTTAGTGCACTATCGCGGTACAACGCAAGTAACGGCGCCCTCATTTTGATCACCTTTACGATATGTTATCCTTTTCAGTTGCGCTGATAAAGACTCTTATCTCCGTTATAATTGAAATATTTACCGTTACATATGCATGACATCGCTTACGCTGTTGAGGTGATGACACAATATTTAAAATTAAATGATAATGAAAATTATTCAAATCGCATTACGGAGCAACATCGAAATAATGGAGCTTGTAAATATTTCACAAAACGACATTCATTCTATGACGTTTGAAAATCCTTTTAATAGCAACTTCCGAATCAGCGATTTATAAGAATGTGTTAATACAACATTCGATTTAAAAGAAATTGTTTTATGCTGATCCCTTCTGTTTTATCCCTTCATTAATACAAATCACTGCGCAGTGAAAAGCAATATAGACGTTATTAACATAAATTTACAAGTAAGAATCAGGTAGAATAATACTCACAGTCACAGCATTAATTCTTAACAATAAAACTGTAATTTCAATTATTTTGAACAACCATTTGACTGAAAAGTTGAAATAACATATGAATATGGTGTGATAAATATTGCTGTACGTCCATGGGTTAGGCAACAGCTGTGTTTTCCGTTTTTTTCCTGAATCAGCAAAACGGAAGGGTCATAAATCAATTACGTTATCTCGCGGGAGCGTTTTCTTTCTGAAGTGCCGATATCGGGCAGGAAGTGCTTCCCACGTTTTTGTTTTTAAAGGATTAACACAAATAACAGCTGGTATACAAAGTCAATTAAATAATCGGCAGACACTTTGGCATACATTATAAAATATATCAGCCCATATATGAAGCTTACACAAATCATGTTTGAGAAGACTTGCGCAAAATAACCAAATTTATTGCCGTTGCCGCTCAGGATATCTCGACTACGTTAATATAAAATAAGGATTGTAAAATATTTTCAATCAAAAATGTTCTCATGTCATACATTCGGTACTTCAAGTCGGCGCTGATTTAATTCCTTTTATGTTGACAGTAATCCGCAAAGTGCTGTCTTCCATTACGATTTGTAGAAACGGCGTATATGCGAATTTTTATAAATTCACTATTTTGAAGCTGGTATTAGGGAGTCGGCTTATTCGCGAGATAGGCGTAATTTCGAGAAAATACGGTAATCTACAGCTACAGGTGTTTGAATTCAAAAATAGATATTCTGATCATTTTCTCAAAACAGCTCTTTCAAGTAACTCTTTTTGGTTAAAGCCCACATTACAGCAGTATTTTGAAACCTCTAAACCCAACCTCCAGACCTTACATTGTTGATAATTCGAATAAAACTGTAAGAACCAAATACACCTTGATGCCTTGCGTGAAATTTAAAAAACTGCTGCATCTCTCAGTGTTGGCGCATGATTACATATTATTAATGATTAATCATCGAACATCTGAATTATGGTATTATTTTCTTTTTCAGGTTAGAAGCTGTTTGTGGTGATGTCAAAATTAAATAAACATATAACAATAGCTTACAGGTTATAAGTGCATCAAAACAGAGACAATGTCGGATAATTCCGAATCTGTTTTGGACAATGTAACAGATGAACTGAAGATTAAAATTAAGGAAGAGAAAAGCAGCATCGAAAAAACAGCAAAAAAAGAACGCAAAGATGGTCGTAAGCGATCTAGATCACGATCTAATTCTCGGGATAGAAGTTCACGAAAAGGAGGAAAATATCGCAGGGAAAGTCCGAGTCATAGAAGACGACATGGACGCTCATATCGATCCCGTCGATCAAAATCGAGATCCAGGTCAAGGAGCAAAGGAAAAAAGTCATCTTCAAGAAGGTCAAGGGAAAGACAGGATAAAAAGTCCGACTCTAGTCGTAGGCGGAAGCAAAGTTCGAGTTCCAGTAGTAGCAGTAGTGATGGTGAATCGAATGCTGAAAAAGCTGATAAATCTGAGAAAAAGCCACCCGAGGCCAAAGCAGGAACTTCAACGGTAACAAAGTCGACTAATAAAGAAAGGAGATCGAAAGAGAGAGGTGAGAAATCGAGGGATCGTCGATCTCGAAGATCAAGGTCACGAGACAAAAGAAGACGATCATCTCGAGAAAGACGTAGATCACGTTCACGTAATAGAGATTCAAGGTCAAAGAAACCTTCACGACATTCCAGGCAAAGTTCTAAAGAGAAAGAGACTACTAAATCTTCATCAGACAAAAAAGAGGCGGAAAAAACAAAAGAACTCAACACTGGTGACTTTGAGCAAGCAAAATTGGAAGAGGAAATGAAGAAGCGCCGAGATAGAGTAGAAATGTGGCGCAAAGAACAAAAATCTGCACTTTTGAAAGCAGGTGATGGCGATAGTGAAAGTGCTAATGGCGATGATAGTGGACCTAGGAAGACCTGGACTTTAGAAGATGATGATGACGATGATTTAAATGAAGAAACTGCAGATAATGATTTAAATGAAGAAACTGCAGATAGAGAAGAAAAGGATGAAAAGATGGAAGAAGAAACCAATGAAATATCGAATGAAAAGGACATGTCTATAGAGGAGGCAGAGGATGAAGTTGACCCTCTTGATGCATTCATGATGAATCTTGAATCGCAGAGTGATAGTGTGTACAAGAAGAATGCCTCCATGACGGAGAATACAGATGGCCCTAAGATTAGCAGAGTGGTTGCCGTAGCAAAAAGCAAAAATGAAATTGAAATCAGACCTGAAAAACGGAAAGGAGAATTGATGGAGGCTGATGTTGATGCCATGGAATATTCTTCTGAGGAGGAAGAGGAGTCACTATCCAGTGCATTTAATAAATTTCAAAGCAAACAGCGGAATCGAAAACTGGATACCGTAATTGATCATACTAAAATAAAATATGAACCTTTTCGGAAAAGTTTCTATGTTGAAGTTCCTGAACTTGCTGCATTGACAGAAGAAGAAGTTGCTGAAAGAAGAATGGAACTTGAAAATGTTAAAGTCAGAGGAAAGAATTGTCCAAAACCCATTAAAAGTTGGGCTCAAGTTGGAGTTTCATTTAAAGTTCTGAATGCTCTTAAAAAGGCCAAGTTTGAGAAACCAACGGCCATTCAATCCCAAGCATTGCCAGCTATTATGAGTGGACATGACTTAATTGGGATTGCAAAAACTGGTAGTGGCAAAACATTGGCCTTTCTTTTACCGATGTTCCGTCATATCATGGATCAACGTCCTTTGCTAGATGGAGAAGGACCAATTGCTGTTATCATGACTCCTACAAGAGAACTCGCTTTGCAAATTACTAAAGAATGCAAAAAGTTCACCAAACCCCTTCATCTCAATGCTGTATGTGTGTATGGAGGTACTGGTATCTCTGAACAGATAGCAGAGCTCAAGCGAGGTGCTGAAATCATAATATGCACTCCTGGTCGAATGATTGATATGCTTGCTGCCAACAGTGGACGAGTAACCAACATGAGAAGATGTACTTATATGGTTCTTGATGAAGCTGATAGAATGTTTGACATGGGTTTTGAACCTCAAGTTATGTTTATTATTAATTCTGCAAGACCAGAGAGACAAACTGTCATGTTTTCAGCAACTTTTCCTCGACAGATGGAAGCTCTCGCTCGCAGAATATTGGCAAAACCGATTGAGGTACAAGTAGGAGGAAGGAGTGTTGTATGTTCAGATGTTGCACAAACTGTTGTTATTCTAAACAGAGAACAAAAATTTTTAAAGCTCCTGGAATTATTAGGTTCCTACCAAGAACAGGGATCGGTTTTGGTATTTGTTGATAAGCAAGAACATGCTGATTCATTATTAAAAGATCTTATGGATAGCTCATACCCTTGTATGGCATTACATGGTGGTATTGATCAATATGACAGGGACTCTGTTATCAGTGACTTCAAAAATGGTGTTTCAAGATTATTGATTGCAACCTCCGTAGCAGCAAGAGGTCTTGATGTAAAAAATCTCATCTTGGTTGTTAACTATGACTGCCCGAATCATTATGAAGATTATGTTCATAGATGTGGCAGGACAGGTCGTGCTGGAAACAAAGGGTTCGCTTTCACTTTCATAATAAAAGAACAGGCACGTCATGCTGGTGATATTATCAAAGCACTTGAGCTTAGTGGTGCTCCAGTACCTCCTCAATTAGAAACTTTGTGGTTAAATTATAAGACAGATCTTAAATCACAAGGTAAAGAAGTTTCAAAAAATAGTGGTTTTACCGGAAAAGGTTTTAAATTTGATGAAACTGAAGATGAGCTTGTCAGAGAACGGAAACAGTTCCAGAAAACCGCTCTTGGATTGCATGATTCTGATGATGAATCTCCAGTGAAAGATATTGACGAACAAATCGAAAACATGTTCAATAGTAAAAAGAGAGTCAAGGATGTTGTTGGTCCTGTTCTACTTCATGGGGCAGGAGGAGAATCCGCTCAACCTGGAGGACCTCTTTCTGGATCTAACATAGAGAAGTTGGAAATTGCGAGACGACTCGCATCAAGAATCAATCTAAAGAAAAACTTAGGTGCTGAGGCACAAGATGTTACACAACAGGCTGCTACAGCAATTATGAAAGGTGGTCGATTTCAAGCTCCCAAAGTGAGTGCGAAGACAATTGCAGAACAACTAGCTGAAAAATTGAATCAGAAACTAAATTATGTGCCACAAGAGAAACCGGAAGATGAAGAAGCTGATTCTGGATCAACTGTCAAGCGTTATGAAGAGGAGCTGGAGATAAATGATTTCCCACAGACTTGTAGGTGGAAAGTAACTTCTAAAGATACATTGGGGCAGATTAGTGAGTACAGCGAAGCTGGAATAACAATTCGTGGACAATATCTTCCAAGTGGTAAAACTCCGGAAGAAGATGAAAGAAAATTATATTTGGCCATTGAAGCCACTTCTGAAATGGCAGTTCAAAAAGCTAAAAGTGAAATCACTCGTCTTATTAAGGAAGAGTTGATAAGACTACAAAACTCTTATCAACCTATTAACAAAGGACGATATAAAATTACATAAGTTGGTTCAAATATATAAGTCCAGTTTGTCCCTTATGTGCGATGATTTATTATTCAAATATTTGCTTTATGGTGTGATATGATAGTGTATAAGACTGCATCATCAAAAATTTAATTTTTAATTTGATAAATCAGCGATTGAAGCCTACTTCAATACTTAACTGTGTTGGCATTGCAGATTACACATCCCGGGTTAAAGCCACATGCCTCCATCTCAGCCAAGGTGTATTAAATTGGGTAGGCAATGCTGATCTGCTTGTATAAAGCGAAATTCGCAATTAAGCAAAAAAGAGCTACAGTAATTTTCAATTAGAAACTGGCTTGAACTATGCCCCTTAACCTAGTTGTTGACTATAAATTAGGTTTTTTGTTTACCTGGTTGTTTATTTATATCGTTTAGCATAAACAGAGAGTTCATTTTGAATATTTACGGTATCTTTTCTAGTGTGTGTAGGCAATTTCATTTTGATGATATTTAGAAAAATATTCATTATTGTATTATTCTTTGTTCAGACTTCCTTATAAGTTTGGTCAATAGTTATAGCCATTGGCTAAAAAAGTTTGACACCCATTGAGCTGTAATTTAAAAATATATTTTGAATTTATTTGTAATTAAAATCTAATTTCACGAATGATTCCTGGCATTGTATGTATTTGGTTCCAACGGCACGAAAGCTCAGAACAAGGATAAGTAGTTAGTCCTGCAAAAGCCCCAATCGATTCTACGTTATTGGTCCTAACATAACCTCCTATCCTACAAAATCAGCATTGATATTTTTTTTGTCTTGTTATTTTTTTTGTTATTGACTGTATGCTGCAAATGAAACAGTGTCAGACCTTGATCATAAATTAGCCAAGTTTAGTCAACTCTGTTTCAAGATGTCTTGAAATTAATCAAAAAATTTGTTATTCTGACCTATCGTTTAATTTAATAAGATAGCCATAGATTTCTGATCTGAACCATGAATTGATTATGATCAATATTTAAGGGAAGAAGAAATTAAAGCATTGCGAATGTGATAGCATGAATTGATGGATGGAACAATTGATTTTGTCAATACTTCTTTATTGAGATGTTGATCGGGGCTATAAAATTAACATAAAACTGTGTAGGTTGTATTTGGATATTCGACTTTCAGTTTGTCAGTTTGTTCCATTCTTTATTATAAGGAATGAATGAGAAACTAAAATACCTTGAGGGAGTGTATGAAAAATGAATTGGAACCACTACACAAGATTTGTTGTTTTTTATGTTTCACAATAATGAATTATTATAAGTTTATCTTCTTGGAATTATTCAGATTTCTTTGTCATGAAATAATCCTTGACACACTAATAACAATTTTTCTGTTATAGTCTCAAGTAAGATCCGTTAGACTAGATGGGATTATCCCATGATTACCCATCGAGAAAAGCTGTTTGGGTAAATCCCATCGGGTTGTATATTCAATCTTCTCACAAATAGAATTACTATTGTATTTAATATGCTGTAATATTGCATTGATAATTATTCCAATCAAGTTTCTGAATGAAAATAATGAAAGGCTATATTTCAGTGGATAAACCTATGTAACTATTTTCATAGATCATCACAAGTTACTAAAATTCTGTTTTATTTTATGCTGTTGTTTGTTTTATTTATTATCAAACTACACAAAATACATGGAGATTTGTGAAGTTTCTACCTTTCTGAATTGGTCAATCGTTTTACCTTTGTAAGCTACTATATTATGCTGTTCACTGCTAAGTGCCTTTGCATTTTTGTTGTACTGTCTTTTTATGTTTCCACTTCTACTTTCTTCCTTATCATAGTCTTTTGTAGCACCAGTTCATTTGATGTTTAAAATATGTGGATTTTGGAAGAGGTTGCAAACAAGTTTGGCGTTGGTGAAGGAGCAGTCAAGTTATTACTGACTTTATACATAGGTAGGTACAAAAGGGGCTCTAAAAATAATATGATTCAGGAATCAGGACATTGAAATATTTTCAAAATGATATATATAATAGTGCAATACCAAAAAATGTCGATTTTAAACCTAATCTTGACTTAAGGTATGAGAAATTAACACATTATGTTGTTTGTTGTCATACTCAGGAAAAGTATAAAAATTTTAATATGCTCATGTTGCAGTCAGAGAATTTATCTTGTCATAGAATTAATACATTTCATAATTTTGCTTTAGGCTGTTGCCAAGTTAATTCAATAATTTTCTGTTCTGAACTGAAATATATCAAAATTGTGACACAACCGAGATAGCACATTACCTTAATTTGTTATTGTTGTATCGTTTTATAAATTTTTCATAAAATATGTTAATATTTTCTATGATTTATTAATATTGTTAGAGTGAGAAAGAATATTGACTTGACTCTGTCTAAATGTATGCTATCACTAATAGTATCATTTCTCTCAATTTTCAGTCTACATATTTGGAGCAATTCACAGAAGATTTTTCTTCAAGACTCCAGCTTATGTCCAGCATATTTATTTCACAATAATTGGACTTTCTCTAATCTATTGGAATTATGGTGAGAATTTTCATTGTCTTATCTTTACAAATGTTAGGCAAGTGATCTCAATTTTAATATTTAAACGTGAGTATATTCATTTGAAATATTGTCCATAACCACTCAGAGGAAATGATACACATGTCAATGAATAGTGCTGAGGTAAACCAAGGAAGAAGTAGATAAACAAGTCACATTGCTGGATGATATTCATCGTAATATCCTAATCATTTCAATCTATGCTTGCAAGCATGATTTCAAATAGCAATGCACATCAGCTGATGTAGTGAGTTCTACAATCAAGCTTCAGTTGATAAATAATAGAGAATTTGCTTTTGTTGTGTTTTTGGACAAAGTAATGAAATTTTTTTCTGTATTTCTTGAAAAGAGTAGTTATCTGTCTTATGAATAAACTTTTATGTATGTTAAGAATAGGATTTACATATTTATCCCGGTAGAAAGGAAAGCCGATAAAACAGCTTAATCATATGGCGAACCACGGCCTCTCGTCCGGTTACAAGTCCAGATCGGGTATGCGATTAGCATGGAGATGGACTTACTTGATGGTGAAGGAAGTCGTAACCGACCAGCGGTTACGTGAACCACTCTACAGCGGCGAGGAGTCCAGCAATCCTCTCGCACATAATTATTCCTTCATGTGAATCGAACCTGCAAACCCACAAAGGATAATCAGAAATGCGGTGGTGAGCTTATTTCTAACTCTCAGCACAATGCGCCACACTGTGTTATATTAAAATAGCCTTACGATTGACAATATAATGATTGATTTGTTCTCATTATTCTGTCTCACTTATCAACCGCAGTACTTGCATTTCCCATGACCACTTTTGATCTATTCAGTAAATAGTTTATTTTTATGGCTATGTATCATGGCTATTGTAATATATTTGGCTTTATATGGCTTTGGCATTTGTTTTAGGCAATGGATTTATTCATTCAATCATCTGCATCACTGCACAGTGGCTGATTTTCAAAGTCATTGGAACTCCAACAGCATGTGTGGCTATATCATTTCCATTTCAATTGGTTAGTTGCTTGATTATTTTAATTTGTTCGCAATCAATGGATATAAAGTTATATTTAAAGTTGAAATTTGCCAAAGGCTGTTTGAATTATTTAAAATCAAACTTAATTGATTTCACAATCTTCTGAGGAATGGCTGTTTATTCCGACTAGGGGCATGCGACTCTCTGATCTATGAGCGAAAAGTTCATTACCTCCTAACCACACAGACCTCAACCAGTACACTGTTGAATTTAACATTCATAGTTTTGTTTTATCGTCAATAACATCAAATTCAAGCTAAATATTTTTCCACTTTTGAAGAATAATAAAGCTTGCCATAGACCTTTGTAGATCACAATTTTTCATAATATTGATGGCTTCTTAGAGGTAGATAATTTTGGTCAAAATAACAGTTAAAACATACTTTCAATGGCAATCACTTAAAAAAATCAGAATCTTGATTTTTAAATAATGTTTTGTTTACCAGGTTCACTGCATCTCATTTTCTAGTACCTCTCAAACACATATTTATCTGTTGTTCCGTTCGAGGTTTTACCAACTTGGCCGTTTAACAATATAAAAATAATTATCAATCAGATGACAGTTATTGCGAATGGTATTTGTAATTGCTGTAAAACACATGTTGAATTATGGTGAATGAAAAAGGATTGTGTTTTATATTTTATATCATTTTGACAGGCTTATCTCGTTGCTGGCTATGTTGCGACTTCAACTGAAGGATATGATATTAATTGGACGATGCCACACTGTGTCTTAATGATGCGACTTATAGGTATTTTATGTTGTCTAGTCAAGGTGAAATTATTTTAGTCAATTGGTCAAAAAACTAAAGTAATAACCTTCAAACTTTTGGAACTTGCCTGTGGTTAATATTGTGATATAGCAAGTTCAAGCCTCTTTCTTGAATGGTAGATGACACAAATAAAATTCATAAATTTTCTATCAAATCGGTAGATACGAAATTCTTTGAGCTGATTGTAATTCATTTTTCTGAATATTTTTATGGTATGATGATAAAAAACTGGTTATTGACTGTTACCTTTTGCTTTACGATCCACTGGATCTCTCCACTGGAAATATAGCATTGGTAATATGTCACTAATATCTTTGTTGCATCCTTTTATCAATATTTTCCCACGTCTGCTTCAGGTTTGGCATTTGATATATATGATGGCCATCGTGATCAGGTTAGACTTTTTATTTTTTTTTATTATTTTCATATTCAATGCAATTATAATTTTAAGTATCAATATCGAATTGCAGATTACGATAATGTCAATATTGTTTGGCAAATTCTGTGACTAAATTTCATAATATATTTTTTGTTTTCTGAATTCTTAGCAATGGTATGTTTTATCAGGAGAAGGTCACCCCTGAACAGAAGACATTGCTCATTAATGATGTTCCATCTCTTCTTGAAATGTTTGGTTATTGTTATTTTTATGGAGGATATAGTGTTGGGCCACAGGTATTGATGTGTTTTTTATATTGTTGCTACAAGTTATTGTCATCATGTAATCAATCTGTTGGACCGATAAAATAGCATCTTGTTTACCGGTATTTAACAGCACGGTTCTGGGGTCAGAGTTTGACATGTTTATATACCGTAATTATTGGAACATGATTCGTATGGTCAAATCCGTAGAGTGTAGAAAATTTGAATTATTTGGAGTATGAATTTTATAAACTTGGAATGGTGATCACTGATTCAAAATGTTTATAAGTCTGGTTTAGAGTCGAATTTAAATAGCTAATAGTTTTGTGCTGGGTGTAAATTTTTCTAGACTCCACATTGTCCACAAGCATAGTTAACATTCTGGTATAGTAACTTGTTGAAGGCGACCAAATATGAGAACTGTAATTTCAGCTTAATGTTAACTACAAAAACAATGTTATTTCTAGGAGATCACATTTCTTTATGCTTTAACAGTTTCCAATCCGAAGGTTCCGCGAAATGGTTAATGGTGAACTTACAGATAGTCCAGGAAGAAGACCAAAATCGTAAGTACAGATCGCATTTGCAATAGTTCAAACTAAATGTTTTCCGGTTTATCTAACCTCTGATTTCTATTATAGTGTTGTTCCTGCTTTGCGAAGATGTATATCTGGCACCACTATTCTTGCGCTTCAACTGGCATGTGATGCATATTTTCCAGAGAAAATGTTGTTTAATAAAGATTTTGAGGTGAAGTTGAGTTGTTTAATTTGGAGCTGCAGCTTAGCAATATCGCATTAATGTGTGTGATGATGATAATCTATTTTGTTCTCTTGAAAAAAGTTTTTAATTGTGATGCATCAGGTTATTTGGTAAAGTTTATATCAAATATATATCTGTCATACATATCTGGCGCGGCTGTGTGGCTTATTGTGCTAAGCGTTAGGAAATTTGCTTGCCACCGCACCTCTGATAACCCTACGTGGGTTCACAGGTTCGAATCCTATGTTTGGATGGTTATATCCGATAGAATTGCTGGACTCCTCGCGCCGTAGGGTGGTTCATGTAACCGCTAGTTATGGCTTCCTCCATCATCAAGTCCATGCTTCCAAAAACGAATAGCTAACTAATCGCATATCCGACATGGAATGGTAACCGGACAAGAGGCCGTGGTTTACCGTATGGTTAAGCCGTCGTATCGGTTTTCCTCTCCCCCGGGATAAATATGTAAATCTTATCCTAATATTGTCATAAGAAACTGTCATATGGTATGGCGTTAATGGCATCTCATCACACACAGCTTATGTAGAAGATTCTAGTCTTTTAAAGCTTAATGACCTTTACTCTGAGCCTCCCTTGAAGCAAATGTTTGAAAACTCCCTATAATATATTATTATTTTCTCGCACAGTTGCGCAATTCTTTGAAATAGGATTGAAAATTGATTGAATTTTTTAGAATATTTTGCCAATATATGACCACTTTTGAAATCAAGACAAAATAGTAAATTAAACTGTTTGTTTTCTCTGTATTACAAAATTCAGTTGTTTTTATCCGAAGATAACCAATTTTGCTTATATATATCATGTCATCTCGTTTTAAACAGTTCTTTCCATTTTGCCTAATTATTTATTTTTATTCACTTCAAACCTAGTATTTATTCTTACAGGAATCAAGTTTCTGGTGGCGAGTGTTTGTCGTTGGTGTCAGGGGTCATGTTTTATTTTACCAATACATGTCAATATGGATAATAAATGTAAGTAGGATTGTAGGAAGATATATCGATAATAACTGTATCAAAGTTTATTTGGTCGCTTTTTTGCATTTCCAAGTTGCTCCTTTGAAGTAACGATACTTCATCTGAAATGTGTGTAAATACAACAGTGAGATATTTTTGTTTTGCTGTTTTATAGTTTGCCTGAATGTTCAGGATTCAACAAATTTCTCTTTTATTAAGTTTTTTATATATTACATTTTTTACATCTTTCACTATGGAAGTTCCTGTATCAATAGCTACTGAAATGTAAGGAGCTATTTTGGGTATTACCTTACCTAACACCTGGGGCCGGGACCAGCGACCATTATTTAGGTTTTACTATTTATGCTATTAAATATCTACAGGAAGGTGTTTGTATAATGAGTGGACTTGGTTATCACAAAGTTGATGGCAAGTGCAATGGGATGCTGTTAGAAACGTTCGAGTGAGAAAATTCGTTACTGCCAAGAGTTTTCAAGATATGATTGATTCATTCAATATAAATACAAACCAATGGGTGGCAAGGTATGTATGAATTGTAGGATCGAATGTTTTGCTTTGGAAATATTTTACTTGAATTGTATTTTATTCTTGAATCATTAATAGGGTTCACATTTCACAATATTCTTATAGAACATCTTACAGAATATGTTTATAAATGACTTTGTAATGATTGATTCAAATTTTCTTTATTTCCATTAATTAAAAAAATACCCCATTTAGTACTCATTTTTATACTATTTTTTTGTATTGTGTTCTGATTTTTCATGTGCCTTCACAGGTATGTTTTCAAACGTCTGCGTTTCCTTGGAAACAAGACTGTGTCTCATCTTTCTACACTGTTTTTCCTGGCTATATGGCATGGATATCATGAAGGATATTTCACTTGTTTTTTCTATGAATATATTGTGATGACCGTCGAAAGACCGGTAAATTTAAATATTTTTTCTCTAAATATAATTGGTATGGATGAATGTTGAATTACCTTAGCAATATAACATGATAATTCAGAGATCTACTTTTCAGACTCATGAATATTGGAGATTTTTCCATTACGTTAAAGCATTTTGATGTATTCTGAATCTACTCAACTCAAGCCACACTTTTTCAACTCTGAGAGATTCATCTTCAAATGATTATATCATCCGATCATATAAAAACCGACATTCCAATAGCCTGAGAGTTGACATTTTCCTAAGACTGAATGTAGCTTTGTTCCCGTCTACAAGCAGTTTTTAATTTATCATCAATATACTTGACAATGGAACAAAACATATCTATATTTCATGTATAACCGTGATTAATAATAATACATTTTTCTTACTCTTGTACAACACAATCCTAAAGTTTCATCCATCAATCGTCATGCAAGACTGATGCTAAATAAGAAGTGTTGCACCACATATTATTTTGATATGGTGTTTCCTGACAGCATTCACTTGATTTGGTTTTAGTTTGGTGATTTGGATTTTGCTTTGAGCGAATTTTTGTGAAAAAAAATATTACCTTGTATTTTCAGTTGCGAGCAGAGTTGAAAGATACATCCATTTATAAATCTCTGATCGCTTCCAAATCTACTTCTTGGATTCCCAACCTCATTGGTTTCCTATATGTCAAACTTCTATTCGGATATTGTGTCCTTGACTTCTCTCTACGGAAGTGGAAAATTTATGCACCGGTATGTTATCTTGATGTAGAGCAGAGGTGTGCAACCTGCGCCAGGCAGGCCAAATGCGTGAAAAAGTCCCAATTTTGAATGTTGTGCGGCTCTCAAAAAGAGTTTTTATTTTAGTTTAAATCCAGTATGTGCGAGTTATTCCATTTCCCTTGCAAAGCCTATACCTGAGCTTGTGCGAAGCGAACAATGCATGCCATAAGATCAATAGCCATCATTTTTGTGCCTGCACTATTATGAAGACTAAGTTAAATAAAGGTGCAGCCTGCGGTTTCACCCAGTTATTCGTAACTGGCCCTCCTGTATTAAAGGTTGCACACCTCTGATGTAGAGCATCAATTGATTTTTTAAATATCATCTATATTATATTTTAACAGAAAATAAGCTTACAACTACAAAAATTAGAGTGGGAGTTTTTTTGGCACATTACGATTTGAGAAAAATATATTGTTTTTGACCTTAATTGAATATTATTGAAGCAATTCCATTCTAAGATGTAAAAACGTAAATGAACACGAACTGTGTCGCCACATTGTCATAATCTACAATTTAGGCTTGTGTATGCCAATTATGTCTCGTATTTTTAATAAAAATATGTTGTTTTTAATTTTCAGATATACAGGTCCATTTTCTACTATGGGCATTGTGTCTACTTCAGTCTCTGGATAATTCTGAAGATCAGAGCATCTATGAAGCAAAAGCAACAGAAGGAGAGCAAACTCGAATGAGAATCTATGAACTACAAACACTATGCAGATTAACAGCTTTAGACAAGTTTTAGACTGTTTTTAATATATGTTTACTGACAATTTATTCAACTTTAAATAATAAGATTCCGTTCCATCAATTGTAATCAAGTCCTGAAAAAAACCTCAATTTTGATTTCGCATTATACTTGTTATAATGCAAGAAATGTGTTATTTTGATATTGCATTCCATAATTAATTAATCTTTCAAAAGTGAACTTAGCATTGATTGAAAGAACCCTCTGCTGGTTTATTCTGCATTCCCAGACTTATGCTTATCGTTGTTAAACTATTCAAACAAAACGCCTCTAGTAGTACATGGAAGTAGGGTATATATCTAGTTATATGGGCGCTCCAGAAGTATGTGTACCAATACGGAGGTAGCTAATTTTGTTTGCCTACTTTACATCAAGTTGTATAAAGGGACTGAAACCTATGGGCAGGGGGTATATTCACACAGACAGTTCCCGAACTCGTAATAGAACTAAAAAAAGGAAAATTGGAATGAAATTATGCCCTAACCTGGTACACATACTACGAATTAACGTTATATGGACCGTTATGGGGACACAGCGGCGACTTTTTCTTGGCGAAAACTTTTTTTCCAAGTTGAGGAATTTCATCTTGAATACGGCTAATAAATGATACAAGTATATGCAGAGTTTTGAATATATAGCTACCTGTTGTTATATTGTTGGATTGGTATTATGATTTTATTTGAAGTGAAAGTACTTAGGAAAAATGAGATTTGAAATAATATACTAATACTAACTGTATCAAATTCATATGTATCATAGCAATGATTGCTTCAAACCATGTCTCATTATTTCAATTTCTACTTTTTGGTAGTCATATTTATTACTACGGCCTGCATTATTTTTTATAAATGCATTTAGCATAAGCATGAAAAGTTTGAATTTGTGTTTATTTCATTATTATGGTTAGGGCATTTGATGATATACCAGGCACATTCCGGATCTGTAATAATACTTTAGCTCAATTATGAAATCTGTTGCACGTTTTTGAATTGACCGAATCATCACGTTCGCTTTATGTAATTCAGCAAATGGAACAATTTTCTCTGGATTCGTGGTGAAGTGAAACGATACGTCCATGCATCTAAAACAAAGAACTGTCTAACTAATCCCATACCTGACATGAACTGGTAACCGGACGAAGGCCGTGGTTCGACATATGATTAAGCCGTCTTAGCGGCTTTCCTTTCCCCGGGATAAATATGTAAAACCCATCCTATTAATGTGATGCCGTTAAGTATATCGGTGCAACGTTGTTGGCGTTTTCGACCAGATAGCGCAATGATGTTTTGGTTGCCACTGCATTGGTGTTTATTGCTCATTGACCAAATCATTACTTCTGGTCCCGAATCACCAAGCTTTATAAAGAGGCGGGCTTTCCGCAAGCGGTGACTCAGTGCAAGCCCGCATTGCTGATCACTGGCAGGCCGAGGCAAGTCTGTTATCGATACATACGTATACCGGTAATTGTAAGAACCAAGCAAGTACTTATGTTGGTATGCTTCGCCTGACGTTGGCTGGCGGAGTAAAACGGGACTTTTGATTAAATCACTCTGGAATTTTACGTAGCCAAGAGCACTGATATAATTAGTTGTGGCAAGTTTATTTCTCTTCATAAATAAAATCAGCTTAAATTGGAATAATTATAACAGTGATTTGTTACTGTTTATTTAACGATTCGGTGATATCTAATTACTATATATATATGTATTAGACTGAAAGTAGCTGATAGATGTTTATAAATCATGTCATTCTTATATGGGATAGGATTTACATAATTATTTCGGGGGAGAGAAAAGTCTCTAGGGCGTTTAGTCGTATGGGATCAGTTAGCCAGATATTTGTATCAGATGCATGGACTTGTTGGTGGCGGAAGCCGTAACCGTCCAGCGGATACATAATTACATACGCAAACATTCGATCATGTTGAGGAAAAATTATCTGAATACACTTAAAGGAAATTCGGTCAGTTTCATGGAATATTTTATGTATTGATCAAATATCTTTTCACACGCTTCCTCTAAGACAGTGTTTCCCAACCTTTTTTGGTTGTGGACCATTTCCGGAGCATAAATCGATACGAAAATTAAATGAACGTTGATTATAACGAGAGCAACTACTAAATCAATTAACATTTGTAACACTTAATGGAAACCTTAGACTTGTGTGGAGGAATGTAGAGTCGGGGAAAGCTTACAAACGACTCCAGCTCGGGTTGAAAAAAATTTCTACCTCGAATCGAGCTCTAAATCACAGGCTGATACCAAAAACTTTGGCCTACTCAAGCTCTCTTAAGCTGCTGCTTATATGTTGCTTTTTGAGTTTCTGTAGAAAACTTTGACTCCTTTCACAACCATTGAAAGCCTAAAGTTCTCCTGAGAATATGATCCCGACTACAGTGAAAACACTTCAAACTCAGGCTCACGCCCTTTCTTTTTTCAGCAGAGACAAAGTGCATTTACTGTCGTCTTCAGGTGATGGGATAAACCCATAAGCATCATCTTTTGAATATATATGTATATATGCAGATACATGCATTGGTTTGGTCATGAAACTGATTGTAAACTAACAAAAGTATATTGTCACAGTAAAAGCGGAGGTATTGCACAATTAAAATGGTATACCTAAACGGCAATGCAATTTCTTTACGTTGTAATTAATGATATTGTTTCTCTGTATAAAAATTCTCAATGTAGCCGATATATCCGAACCCGAGCCGGACTTACCACGTTCTCGGGTTGGGATTTGGGAAGCACTGATCTACAATTCCCTTCGTCGCATGGAAATATATTAGGCCTATATATTTTTTTCTTAATTAGATTACCAGATTATCCATTTGGTGTCTCAGTGCTTGCTTTTACCGGGGCCGACCTAGGGCCACTGCTACCTATGCGGTCTCGTACTTTTCCATAGGCCCAGCGCTTATTTTAGGTATAAATTATTAAACTTAACCAGTTTTTGTAGATAGTTTTGTTCCGAAAGGCGATCTCGTATACTGACATGTCGTCTACTTGCGCTATAAGCTCGCTCTTATTGCTGTGAGTAAACTCATTGATGGATAAAATGACAACAATATTTGATACGAAAACTTGTTAAAACATAAACATGAAAAAGCACCATGCCAAATTAATCCGTTTAAATTAAAAATACTCGAATAAAAAAAATAGTGAAAATCACAAAGAAAATTATCAAAAAAAGCATGCTTACTAGGTTTACTAGGCGACAGAATTTCAACTATTATATACAGTTTGTTTAGAGACACCAACAACTAGGACATTTTATTCAACTTCTTCTATGGTTGGACCACCAGTATTTGACTGGCCTGCGGTTGCTTGTGGTGGAACACCTCCAGTTGATGGGCCTCCGGCCTGATGCAATTTTGTTAATATAGGTTTGGTAACTTTTTCTAGCTCCTTTTGCTGGTATTCATATTCATCTCTCTCCGCCGTCTGATTATTGTCAAGCCATGTGATTATTTCGTTACATTTGTTGAGAATAGTCTTTTTGTCATCTTCAGAAATTTTGTCTTGATATTCTCATCTTCGACTGAGGCTTTCACATTATAGGTGTGGGATTCGAGCCCATTCTTTGCTTGTATACGATCCCTCTCTCGGTCATCTGCTTCTTTGTATTTTTCTGCGTCGTTCACCATTTTCTCAATCTCTTCTTTACTCAAGCGACCTTTGTCATTTGTAATTGTGATTTTGTTCTCGTCCGGTACTTTTATCAGCAGCAGACACGTTCATAATACCATTTGCATCTATGTCGAAGGTTACTTCAATTTGCGGAACGCCTCTCGGAGCTGGAGGTATGCCAGTAAGATCAAACTTTCCTAATAAGTTGTTGTCTTTAGTCATTGCACGTTCGCCTTCATAAACTTGAATCAAAACGCCTGGTTGGTTATTTGCGTAAGTCGTGAATACTTGGGTTTGTTTAGATGGAATTGTGGTGTTGCGTTTAATCAAAGTTGTCATTACTCCACCCGCTGTTTCAATTCCGAGTGACAAAGGCGCTACATCAAGCAGAAGGAGGTCTTTGACTTCATCCGATTTGTCGCCTGACAGGATAGCTGCTTGCACAGCGGCTCCGTATGCAACTGCTTCGTCTGGATTTATAGATTTATTGAGTTCTTTTCCATTGAAAAAGTCTTGAAGAAGTTTTTGAACCTTTGGTATTCTAGTCGAGCCTCCAACAAGGACAATTTCATCGATTTTGCTTTTGTCAATTTTTGCATCACGCAAAGCTTGTTCAACAGGCTCAGTTGTTGCTCGAAAGAGATCAGAGCAAAGTTCTTCAAATCTTGCCCTAGTAATTGAACTGTAGAAATCAACTCCTTCGAAAAGTGAATCGATTTCAATATTTGCCTGTGTTGAAGATGAGAGTGTACGCTTTGCTCGTTCACAAGCAGTGCGAAGACGACGTAACGCTCGTTTGTTTCCAGAAGGATCTTTCTTGAATTTCCGTTCGAATTCTTGAATAAAGTGGTTAACCATCCGATTATCAAAATCTTCTCCTCCTAGATGAGTATCTCCTCTGGTGGATTTCACTTCAAAGATGCCGTCATCAATAGTTAGAACGCTGACATCAAAAGTGCCACCTCCCAAATCAAAAATTAATACACTTCGTTCTGATCCCGATTTTTTGTCGAGACCGTAAGCGATGGCTGCAGCTGTAGGCTCGTTGATAATTCTCAAAACATTCAAACCAGCAATAGTTCCAGCGTCTTTTGTAGCTTGGCGTTGAGAATCGTTGAAATATGCTGGCACTGTAATAACCACGTCTTTAATTGGCGTTCCTAGGTACGCTTCAGCAGTTTCTTTCATTTTTGTCAAAACCATTGAACTGATTTCCTCGGGGAAAAAATTCTTTTGCTCGCCTTTGTATTCTACATTGATTTTAGGTTTACCTTCTTCGCTCACAACTTTGAAAGGCCAGTGTTTCATGTCACTTTGTACGGTTGCATCGTCAAATTTTCGGCCAATGAGTCTTTTGGCGTCGAAAACACTGTTGGTTGGATTCATTGCTACTTGATTTTTTGCGGCGTCTCCAATAAGTCGCTCAGTGTCGTTGAAAGCAACATAACTTGGTGTTGTTCGATTTCCTTGGTCATTTGCTATAATTTCTACTTTTCCATGTTGGAAAACTCCAACACACGAGTATGTGGTTCCGAGGTCGATTCCTACAGCAGGCATTTTGAAAAATGAAAATTTATCTATTCTGCGAATATATTTCTGGAGCTTTATGAACTTCAATAAGAACACGCTACGCTGAGAACAGTCGATATGATTTAATCGACGCTAGCGTCGAGTATTTATAAAACGAGAGAAGAATCGCGATCGCGCGCGGTAATTCGAGAGAAGCTAAAATCTAAAAATAGGCCTTCGAGAACATTCTTGTCATTGATCATTTTAGGCCCATATTATTATTTCTCGATGGAAAATGCTAGCAATTTCAAACTATCGGCGGAGTTCGCTGATTGTGACAAAAATGGTGCAATATCTCCTTGAAAGCCACTGTTGCTCATTTGTTCAAGTCACATTGGATTACCCGCAGTGAAATCCCTGGTCTGATGTGTATTTCGGGTGTCCAAGGAAGAGTCTAGAAGTTGGTATACTGATTAATTACAACAACACATGAGCACAGATACACATAAATGAACATGTATATTCCCTATGACATATCTTGACGAAGAAGTTTCTATAAATTATTACTGGAAATGTCATACATCGAAGAAAGAAGGGTAAGCTAAAAGGACTTCTCGTAATTTTAGTAGAGATATACCGATATCCATTTTCCTAACAATTTTAACGCAATATTGGACACGAAATGGACCTATGAATCGATTTGTTATTATTATTATGTTTTTTATTCTTCTCGTTCTTAGATTTTCCCTTTTCTTTCTGTGAGAAATAGCTTTTTTTCTTTGGCTACTGAACAAATCGTCTGTTCCTGGACATAATAATTCGCTGTTTAATTTTTATTCATGGGAACAGGTAATCCGGCAGAATCGTGGCCGAAGCTCGTTTTGAGACATAATTTTTTTCTTATTGTTTATATATAATGTCAATGACATAAATAATGATATCCAGGTGGGTGTGGAGTATATAATGTTGAGCAATTTTTTCTAAGTAGATACTAAGGCGATCCGGAAGTATTCGTACCAAGATGACGCACATTCTGAACCTAACCTGGTACACATATAATGTTCAGGTTGTGCGCCATCTTGGCACGAATACTTCGGGAGCACCTTTTTGTTAAAAACAATTATTTCATCCCTACATGGGTTAGTTTTAAGTACATAGATTGAATCTCCTTACAATGTCAGAAATTCGATTTTGGTACAATCAATTGTAGTTTATTTCACTGATATAAGCCTGGCTTATTAAGCCAAGATCCATCGACAACATCTAGCCACTTTCTTTTGCACTCCTCAAACTACATTTGTTTTGCCGCGGGTATTTCGTTTTCCTGCTTAAAGCTTCGGGACTTGGAAAATATTTTTATTAGTTGAAATGGATTGGAATATTCGATCTCGTCCTTCGCTCCGAACAAGGCCATGTAAAACCATCCACTGGTATCTAACGATGTGTAACGTTTTTTCTTTGAACCGGAACCTTTCAGCTTCAGCATTGACTTTGATCAAATTATTATATCCTTGTAGATATAGACGGTATGTGTATGCGAAACCGAGATGTGCACCTGTTATGCCAACATATTGAGTCAAACATTTTGATCACTAGTACATCACACACATTTTCCTGAGTGCTTCGGTTGTACGTGCACATTTTTGCACACATGCATCAAATCCACTTGTTTATTGACCTATCGGTTTTTGACGAGCTTTTGCGTATGATTTCATCCCATAGAATTTGTATGCTTTTCTAAAGAATACTAGTTTCAGCTTTTTCATTCATTCAAACCGCGTGTTGGAAGTGAGTTTTGTAATATTGCGTGTTGGTTTTCAACCGATTTATTGATATCCATCATTTGACATACATAAATCGGTGATGCCAGTAAATCTTTAATACAAAAAAATCAGTATCATCTGCAATAAAAACAGCAGTACCCACTCGAATGACAGCTGGGGGATGAATACTCATATTATCTGCTCCATCCCGTGGCGTTTCAATATGAGACCTGCCTTACACCAGTTTACATGAGTGCCATGGTATCTAAGCTCAGCCAGAGACAAAAAGTTTCAGACTGCGGTTGGCGTGACGAAATGTTTTTAAATATATATTCTACAATAAGAATATTTGATTGCATATGAAAGTTATTATATTGCACTGAAAGTTAGGCTTTATATGTTTTTTTTCCATTGCACTAATCCTTTACTGATACTCGATAATATGACGCTCATCTGACATAGTGTTTCAAGTGTGTAGATAGGTATAATCTTTTCCACGCAGTTCAGATGGGATGGTTTGCAATGCGATGAAATCCCATCTTGGCATTTCTGCCTCTCGCAATTGCTGCGTATATTTATCGGAGAAGTTCTGTGGCGTGGTTATCAAATGAAGAAAAACATGAGAGTATTTTTCTACTTCTTTCAAATCTGAAATATTTTTATTCAATCTTTTTTTTCTTAACCCCAACAATCACAATTAATTCTGTCATTAAATTTCCGAAACAAACGCATAAAATCATCAACGGATGCATATCACCAAGTCATAAGTAGATATTGCTGAATTTATCTTTATTTTACTATTTTGCATGTGATGCTTTTTGGTAAACCAGTTATCTATCGTGAATACAGCACATTTGACTATCTGGTAGTGTAACTTCTTTTTCGCCTCACTTTTTTGATATTTGTAGTTAGATCTCTTGGGGCTCTGTCGAAGAAAGTTACACATTTTACATGTGATGCTTTTTGGTAAACCTATTATCTATCGTGAATACAGCACATGTGACTATGTCGTAGTGTAACTTTTTTTCGCCTCATTTTTTTGATATTTGTAGTTGCAGATCTCTTGGAGCTCTGTCTCTGGCATTTTACCACCCGTATATCATTCATTGTCGAGAATATTAATGAAATCATAAAATCTAAAACCCTTTTTCGTGAATTTTTTGTTGTAGGTGAATTCGAGGGACAGCATGACAACAGACAAGAAAAGCACGGCTACCTTTTTCAGTTTAGGACAGGGTTTGTTAAAAGGCGACTCCGGCCTCCTTGCATGCCACGGGTCGGTTATCTGGGAGCACGAACAAACAGATGGAAATGCGAATATATAAAATCTATTTATTTTTATAGAAGAGATAAAGCAAATCTCTTGAGGGTCTTTGGTAGTTTGAAAAGCATTGGCATCGAACATAAACTGAATTACAATGTAGCAATTTTATCATTCGTGTTCTCGTGATAGCATTATCTTTCACTGCATCTTCGTGATCATCCCGCTTCATAACAATCCTTGCTAACAAATAATTGACTGTTCTCCACCGGGTGTATATTTGCGCACAGACTGTCGTAATCCACTTAAACGACTGCATTAACAGGCTTGTATTGTTAATTACAACAATAGTGGGTATTTTTAAATAGTATAGTACTCCTTATTTTACGCTTATGTTTCAACAGTGTTTGCCTATCTATGGGTCGCGACCAATAACCGGGTCGCCTGAAAATATTTTCGGTAAGTTTTTTTCAACAAATACCTAAAAGTTATTGATTTTATTTCCTAGTAAATTTGGTGCTTCCGTAGTATGTGCATCAAGATGGCGCACAACATGAACATTGTACGTGTACCAGGTTAGCTTTCAGGTTGTGCGTCATTATGGTGCACAGATTTGGCGAAAAAACACTGATACAAATATCAAGCCGTAAAAAATGCTCAAGGCTGAGAAATGATGAGCAATGACCCCAAGATGAATAATCACAAATGAAAAAAACTTTATGTCTGAAAACAATGTTGGGCCCAAAAAGGCCCCTTATCGGACCGGACTAAGGGGTTTAATTTCGCCAAGCGTGGAGGCGTATTTGGATACCGGTAACGCGCTGTTTAGGGATAAGAGAAGGACAAAATAAGATAACACGTTATATTATCACGCCATGTAAGTGGATCAATATTAATAGGATTGCTTTGAGGGCCGATTTACCATTATGCAAGGTAGGCTAAAAGCCTGAAGGCTCCCGCCGTTAAATTTTGAATTATTATTCATTTCTAGTTGTTTTGGATTTTAAAGGCTTGTTCCAGAATAAAACCGTTTTAAAATGATAAAAACTTGATATTTGTCCAATTTACTGTATATCGTTGGGATAATTTGCTATGTTATCCGATGCCACAGATCCTCGTGAATCAGTGTAGTAATGGACCTTTCCCCGACCTTTGAACCCCAAAAATTCTTCCTATACTTTACCATTGCAAAATTTTTGGGGCATATTTGAGGATGGTTCCGCGAGTTGACGCCTGTAAAATGGGGTATGTGTTTCAAACCATCATTATGATTCATTGTATACAACAATCTGTTTTTTAAAAGTACCGGTAAAGAATTTTAGCCCAGTCTATTACAGCTATTTCTACACTAATTTTTTATTACTGCAATTAAATTAAAACTCCTAAGAAGACAGAGTGATCATTGAATTATCTGATTTATATTTAAATTTCCGAACACAACTTAAAACTAACGAATAAAAGTTTAATAATAAAGTTTAAAAACCACGAAAATGAGGTACTGTTTACGATCGCGCCTGAAAATCTGTCTGAGTGAGAAAAGTGTCTGAGCGGATGCGAAAAAGGAGCATTGTTACGTCACTTTCTGCATCTTGCTGATTGATTAAAGGTCACGAAGTAAACAAGGAAGTCGATGCTCGAAAAGTCGTTTAATTTTAAATAAAGAATGTATCACTATTCTAAAAATGAAAATTGTTGCAATCGGAAAATCGCCTATATGATGGCAGTCGGCACCAATAATGAAACGGTGAATAAAGCCGTCTTCGCGTTCTGAATATTCAAGCTGGGATTACGGTGTTTGATGTCTGCTGCAAACGTGTTTGCAGGCCCTTTGCGAAAAAACACAAGTATAATCACGCGAGACAGATTTCGTCGCTAGAGAATAACGCTCGTCCCAGGTTAATAAATTATAAATCCGAAATACAAAAATTGACACACGGCGCCGAAGAGGTGGAAACCGAGTTCTAGGGATTCGAATCCTCCGGATTCGGTATGCTATATCGTCCATCCCTACCTAAGAGTAATTGAATTCCTACTTTTGTTGCTCTAATACTGGTATAAACCTTTAACTACTATCCAATAAATAATTACCTTGCCCCTAATCCACTTCGACA